ATAAATCAAACAAACATTGGTAAATAATTTAAATGAGAGTGGGTATCCCAAAATTATTTGGTAATTTAATCCAAAAATAATTGGTAAGTTAATGAATAGGGATTAGTAAATTCATATAAGAGTTGATATATGTTAGTAGAAAAGACAAATAATTGAAGATAAGAAAAGTTGATAATTCATACATTATGAAAATATAATTAGCAATTTCATCAAAGTAATTGCAAGTTTCTAACGAGTTGCCAGAAAAATAGATCATCGGTACCTTTTTTACCAGCCGTTTTTTACACTAACAAACTCTTTCAAAATTCGTCCAGCTAACTTTGGTGTACCAAATGCGGGATTTATATAAACAGACCGTCGGGATAATATATTAATGCAGATTCTAATACTTCAATTCGGGAGACAAGTTTGTTAATTATTACAAGATCGATATATTAAACGAGCATGTCTACTTCAGTGGTTGAAATAATGCAAAAGCACAAAAATATTTTTATAATTCATCAATTGGAAAAGATAAAAGATCAATTTAAACTTAAAAAAAGGCACATTATAATCGAACTTGGACCTGGGGCGCATGCATTAAACTACTAAGGAATCAAGCCCCCCGGATTAATAATTGGCTAATTAATAAATGCTTATATATAACATAATTTGTTTACCTTGTCCAATCTAGGTCAAAGGATGATGGCCTAACAGTAATCAATCTCCGGGGATTTCAGATGGAGGAAGTGTTGACATTTTCAAGTGATTGAAAGTAATGGCGGGTCGGGTCAACGCTTGTCTAGGCAAGTTCGGAGATAACGCATTAGGTTCCGCTTATTTTGCAAATAATAAATGATTTGAAAAATGTCATTCAGAAAACGATCGCTTGAAATAATTAATCGAGAAATATTTTTATTATCAACTAAACACTTATGTGGACAATGAAAATATTTTTAGTTCATTTATTTTTGTAGGCGATAAAAATAATTATTTTTAGGAAGATATTTTTCAAATCATTCATTTTCAATAAAATAAATAAAATTAATAGCATAAATGTTTATTATTTATATGGGGCTTGGCATTATTATCATTAATTTCATCGTAATCATCATTATGGCTATGCAATAGCTATCAAGCCACGGGGCCAGCAATAAAAGGGACGTGACCAACTTAAACACCATCGTATCTATATAGATCCCGCACCTTCATATAAATATGACATAAACCCTAAAGTCCATTGTGGTGAGCTTTGATTGTGACTATAATCCGAATATTTATTTTATTTTCACCGAAAATCGATCACGATTACAATTCATTTGAATTTCCATCATCTCGTGATCCGAAATTATGTGGCGCGCTGGGCATAAACATTAATTTTCAATTTTGTATACCGACCTAAAAAATAGTAATCAGAAGTAATAGGACGGCTATTGATATATTGTGAATAAACATGTTTTTTTAGACACCTATTATATAGGTTTTTGTAAAGTTGATATCCAATAACTAAGTAGGGAACATTGGTAACTTTTTACAGAGTTTTGAAAGTTAATAATGACTAAGCTACATGCGCGTTTATTAGGTTGCGCATTAGCTTTATTGATTAAAGTTACTCCGATGGCGTGACATGTGCGATTCATTAAGATTTAAGAATTAGGATCGGTCGTGGACACATCCGTTGTAATGACACAACGTGAACACGACCCTCTTCGTTCTTTGAAAAGAGGAATTGAATTCGTCAATTGTACTGAAAAAATGTAATCACGCAAGATGCAATTTATCATGGTATTTTTGGTATGAAACGAGCCTTTTGGTAATCACAGATTTAATGTTCTCGAAATATAGTAGAATTGTGAAATTTTATTTGTTATTGTAAAATGGTAAATGAATAGAATATACAGTTGATAATATAAGGTCGGGTTCATAATCTCTCTATACTATAAATCAAACTATCTTTCTATCTCAAACTTTGACATTAAATTTTCCGATCAAACTAAAAGTCTAGTGTAAGATAAGCTAATAACGACAATAGTAATTTATTAGACGAATCTATATAAATCCTACAATATCTCTTAAGCCTCCCGTAAATTGTAAGCTTAAACTAAATATTTAGGCTCCGTTTATTTTATAGAATAATGAATGATTTACAAAATATTTTTCTAAAATTGATTGCTAAAAATAATCTGTCAATAAAAAATATTTTCATTATCGATAATAATTTGTATCTGAATATTTTCATGGACGATGATAGTATTTAAATATATTCGTTTTTGTAAGCGATACAAGCGATAATTTTTAAAAAAATATTTTTTAAATCATTTAATTTTTACGATTCAAACGTTTAAGGGGTATGTTTTCGATAGTAATTTTGTTAAATTAGTCACATCCAACCAATAGACACCTAAGCAGAGTCAAGACGAGGATGATTTTGTTGCAATAAAAGTCAATCACTCTACCCAGTTGCCGGATAAACATGCACTGGGCCACTCGAACCCACGATTATCACGTTCACCAAAGCAAAAGTCAAGATGATGATGATTATGTTTTCATTGCAACAAAAGTCAAACGCTTTACCCAGTTGCTGGATAAACATGCATGTTGACTCGAACCCCGATTATCACGTTCACCGTAGGCGATTCGTCCGAATCGACACGAAACGCATTGAGATCAAAACAATAAGAATAAACCATGTTTACAAAACGCTTAAAAAATATTTGCGAACACCGAAAATATATAAGTGAGACCCGAATCAAGTTTGGGTTCTATGCGGATCGGATCTTGGGTCGGGTCACAAAAAAAAAAAAAGTATATACCTTTCATGTCCGGAGTGGATTGGGTATAAGTGAGACCCGAATCAAGCCGATCCGTTGACACCCTCATCGGTACGAATTACGTAACCATTTATTAATAGGATTACATGCAAATGAACGAGAGATTCGAGGTCAAAGTAAACGTTCTGAAGTTCGAAGTAGTAGAAGCGTGCACCTATTGATATGGATGATGTATAGAACCAGAGGAGTGCAAATTTAATTTATAAGGTTGCATGCCATAATCCAAGGACAAGTACTTATCTAGATGAACTGTGGTTTGACTTCCTACGTATAGACAAGGATGTCGATTGATTCCAAACCATTACAAGAGAGCTGTGAAGTTGATTAGATAGATAGGTAATAATGCACAACTTGAAACAAGAAGACTAAGCAAAATGCAGAAATGACGCAAGAAAGATTCTCTAAAATTGCCACATTTATTATACTAGCTATTGTTTTCCTTGCATCATATCTTAGATTAATATTACCTTTAGTTAAAACATTTTTGTCCAAAATTCAATTTTACTATTTAATTTTTCACTTTTTTTCTTTTTATGGTGGAATATGACATTATGACTGCTTTCTTTACCTGGCATTAGTAGTGAAATGATCAAAAGAGTGAATGCGACACACTACCGGTTGCGCGGGCCTAGTGACTAGTTAAGTAACGAAATTAGAACCCGGTGCTAGTATTACGATATTATGGGTGCGTTTGGGAGGGCATTGGCTTTATGATTTTGCATTTGGATAAATAAATTTCACTCCAAAGACTTCACTTATTGCAAATATTGTTAGGTAACCAATGTAAAATACGCTTTAGATAGCAATTTGTAAAATGAGAAAAGAAATAGAATATTAGGAAAATGAGAGAGCAAAGGGATATGATCAACCATGGCTTTCTCTATGCAAATCTTCCCGGGCCATGATCCTCGGCGGAGACAAAATGTCGGGTAGCGCGACGTCGGGACAGTGCGACCCTAGGCAACATGCCACCGCTGCAAGACGTGCTGGACTCCAAGCAACGTGCCAGATCTCGCAAGCGTGAGTCCACTCAGCAAGAACTCGAAAGCGCGACTCTCGCGAGCATCAAATCATGGAATTTGATTGACGCAACCATAGTCGGCGTCTTTGTGACCCTCGGCGAAGCTTTGCCGGTGTCCTTCCAAACTTCAGTGAAGTTGCACCGATAGCCCTCGACCGCCTCCTCGAAGCTTCCCGGCCACGATCGACCACGGCTTCCTCTCGGCCTTTGGTGCTGATCCGATACAAGAGAAGCTAACGAGCGAGGGGACAAAATAGGAATACTAGCGAGGGCAAGGTTCGATAAAAAAAGAACTTCATTAAACCCTTTAAGCTGCATTCCAAAGATACGAAAGCCCAAAATAGAGAGCGCTTGTCTTGAGCTTTCGGCATTTTCGAAGCAAAAACTTTACACCAGAATCTTTGAAATCGTGTTACCAAACGCCAAGACTTCGGCTCTAAAGCTGCGTTTGGTCGACCGGATAAAAGCCAGGATATGATATTATCCTATCCTGTGTTTGGTGGTGGTCCAAGATAGGATAAGGTCGGATATAGACTGGATAAAAAAATCCGAGGGTAGGGTGGGATAGACCTGGATAGGATTTCTAATGCCTATTTTTCCAGAAACTCTACGCTCCACTCGCCGTCATCTTCATCCCCACACCTTGTGCGCTTTCACCAAAAAAATTTCTCGGCTTTTTTTTCCTTCACCGACTCCTCCGAACCCGTGAATAGCAAAAAAAAAAAAAAATTATCCTATCCGACTTTAAATCCGTAGTCCACCAAACAGTAGATAGGATATGAAGAAATCCTAGGATTTCTTATCCTATCCTATCCAGTCCTATTCTGTTTAGAAATCCGGACAATCAAACGCAGCCTAAGGGTCTTCGGAGGCCCAAAATTATTATTATTATTTTTTTTGGTCGAATCCAAAATTACTTGTAAATGGTCTTCCAAGCGCACCCCATATGTGGGCAAAAACAAGAGGAGATAGAAAAGAAGGAAAGTCAAATTGTACTTTAATTTTAAGCCCATACCCGTATGAAGCCCATCGTTCCTCATTTTGGGCCGTGAAAGACCCGCATCTCACCCGACCCGACCCGACTTGATTTCCCTTTCTTCTCCTTTGTTTTCCCGGGAAACCCTCTTCGCTTTCCAGCTTTTCGCCGGAAAATTTCCGAGCTCCGAGCGGTGCAGCGTCGCCATTAGCATGAATCTCCGTGCTCGCACACGGTATTCCCAATTCATCATTTCCTAGGGTTTCCTTTCCCCTCTCTCTCTATCTCTCTTTCTTTCTCAGGTACGCCCCAAATGTTCAATCTTTGAGTTCAGGTTTCGCGTTTTGCAGCTGAAATTTTCATGAATTTATCCGCTTGCTTCGTGCAATTCACGCGAGAATAGCTGTAGCGCTTGGTCGGTTGCCGTGCTTTGCGAGTATTCGATAATGGGTAGGGGTGCCGCCGCTTCCCTCCTTCGAATTTGCCGTTCCAAGGACAATGGTCCCAAGGGCAGAGCTTCGTTGTCGTATAGATGTTTCGGTTCGGGCTCGGGCTCGGGCTCGGGCTCGGGCTCGGGCGCGCAGTTCGGCCGCTCGGCGACTCGGGATCGCCGGTTCGACCCGAGTTTCGATGTCCGGAGTTGCCCGTTATCTGGGAGTTTGGTGCAGTTGCTTTGGAAGAATGTGCTTTGTAGGAGTCCGTGTTTTAGGGTAATGAGTGCGGTTGATGCGAGACTGTATTCGTCGTCGGCAGAGAAAGGGAAGGATTCGGAGGGCACACATGGTTTTGGCTCTGAAGTGATTGTTGGGGAAAATGGTGATGGTGTAGAAAGTTTTAAATTTGCCGAGTGCCTCAACCGGTTAGCTGTCGCGGAGGATGGAGATGATTTGAACGGGGAAAACACATGCGAGCCCATTAGTTTCGTTGATCATGGCGGTTCGGATGAGAGTAATGAATGGCATATGGTGACAGGTGAAGAGGATGGAAACAGCGGTAGTGTTAGTGCGACTATAGATTTTCCCTACAAGAATGTGGGATTGCGTGATCCTGTGGATTTGTACAGGGAACTTCGTGATTCTGGAGAGCCTATGAAGCTGACCCGTGATGACTGGAAGACCCTCCAGGAGATTTTTCGCTGTTTTAAAGAGTCGCCATGGGCATCCAATCAGGCTCTTGCCATCTACATAGGCATGTCTTTTTTCCCAACTGCATCCCGCAAATTCCTACATTTTTTCTCCAAGAAATGCCCTGCCGATATTACCATGTACTTGGTTTCACTTGGCCCATGTCAGGATGCCGTTAAGTTCTTGTTCCCTATATTTGTCGAGTTTTGCTTGGAAGAATTTCCTGATGAGATTAAGCGGTTTCGGAGCATGATTGAGTCAGCTGACTTGACAAAGCCCCACTCTTGGTTTCCCTTTGCACGAGCTATGAAAAGGAAGATAATCTATCATTGTGGTCCAACCAACAGTGGGAAGACATACAATGCTCTGCAGCGCTTCATGGAAGCAAAGAACGGCGTTTATTGTAGTCCGCTTAGGTTATTGGCTATGGAAGTGTTTGACAAGGTGAATGCTTTGGGAGTTTACTGCAGTCTTCACACTGGGCAGGAAAAGAAGAATGTCCCTTTCTCGAACCATGTTGCTTGTACTGTGGAGATGGTGTCAACCGATCACTTATACGATGTGGCAGTAATTGATGAGATCCAGATGATGGCAGACCCATATAGAGGCTATGCATGGACGAGAGCATTGCTAGGACTTAAGGCCGATGAGATACATGTTTGTGGGGATCCGAGTGTTCTAAATATGGTGAGGAAAATCTGTTCTGATACTGGGGATGAGTTGCATGAATGCCACTATGACAGATGCAAGCCACTGGTTGTTGAAGCCAAGACACTGCTCGGAGATCTTCGCAGTGTTCGATCCGGTGATTGTGTGGTTGCTTTTTCTCGGAGAGAAATATTTGAGGTTAAATTGGCAATTGAGAAGCACACCAATCACCGCTGCTGTGTCATATATGGTGCCTTGCCACCTGAAACTCGAAGACAGCAAGCTAACTTGTTTAATGATCAAGACAATGAGTATGATGTCTTGGTTGCAAGTGATGCAGTGGGGATGGGTCTGAATCTTAATATCAGAAGGGTTGTGTTTTACACTCTCTCGAAGTACAATGGTGACAAGATGGTGCCAGTTCCCGCGTCGCAGGTGAAGCAGATTGCTGGAAGAGCAGGCAGAAGAGGAAGCCGATATCCTGATGGGCTTACAACTACCTTTGAACTTAATGATTTAGAGTACCTCATTGAGTGTTTGAAGCAGCCATTTGAAGAAGTTAAGAAGGTGGGTCTTTTTCCTTTCTTTGAGCAGGTTGAGCTCTTTGCTTGCCAACTTCCCAACGTTACGTTCTGCAAGCTACTTGAGAAATTTGGTGAAAATTGCCGTCTTGATGGCTCATACTTCTTGTGTCGGCACGACCATATTAAGAAGGTTGCAAACATGTTGGAGAAGGTCTCGGGGCTATCTCTTGAAGATCGCTTCAACTTTTGTTTTGCACCAGTTAATATCAGAGACCCAAAATCAATGTTTCATCTTCTGAAGTTTGCCACAGCTTATAGTCAAAACTTGCCTGTTAATATAGCAATGGGCATGCCCAAGGGCTCTGCTCGAAATGATACCGAGCTTTTGGATCTGGAGACCAAACATCAGGTGCTGTCTATGTATCTGTGGTTGTCTCACCACTTTGAGGAGGAAACTTTTCCATATGTTAAGAAGGCAGAAGCTATGGCGACAGGCATTGCTGAGTTATTGGGTCAGTCTCTGAGAGTTGCAAACTGGAAACCAGAATCAAGGCAGGCAGGAAAACAAAAGCCCAAAGAGAAGCCTGATCAAAAGGAAGATGGCTATGAGAGACCGCAGTCACTCGCCAAACTATTTTCTTTGTAAGTTACTCTGGATTAGTTTTCTGCAAATACTTCTCATGGAGCAGGATGTGTCTCTTGCTCCTTCAGTATTCCAGTCATGGATCTTATGAGGCAGATACTTTGGTAGGCTGGAACTACTTGACGGGAGGGAAGGAGTGATCGTGAGTGTATTGCGTATTGACCTTTTCTGTTTTTAGCTGCTGTACTCGAATATGGTGAGCTTGCTGATTTAGTGGTTCCTTGACTAGATATTTCTTTGATGTGAGGGAAACTTTGTTGTTCAATATAAGGCAAACTCATTAAGTCCGTCAGATGCTCTAGCGAGAAGATGTGACTGTATGATGTAGTGCATGTTAGAATGGGTAAAAATATGTGGATGGAAACTTTAAGAAAAGACCTTGGGTTTGAGAGGCTTCCGATTTATTGGTCGGTGTTATTGTTGTCTTTGTTGCTGCAACGTCTTAATTTCATTAGGCCTTAAATAGCTCCTCCCTAGATGACTTTTCTTTGTGATATGTACCGTTCCAGACCAGGAACATTGTTCATTTAAATTTTTGTTTAGCTCGCTTGTCATGAAAATGAAAAGACATGTTAAAAGGAAGGTAAGGTTTTGGTACAGTGTTTTGTCTGTTCATAACCTTAAGACGACAACCCCTCAGTGGTAAACCTTGAGAGTTGTAGCCTTGCAATTGTTCAAAGTTGTTGGTGAAGAACAGGTCTCCACAAGTGCACAATTTTTTGCATTAGTCAATGTTGGTGCTATTTCCAGTTCGTTATTATTTTCTTTGTCATCCTTCAGAAAAAAATTATTGTTTTCCTTTGTCATACAGGAGAAGACAGAATAAGATCCCGGAAATTTCACATGCTGAGAAAATGTCTACATAGTCATGTGCAGGTATTACAACTCAGCATCGTGGCCTTCTGTTATGTATATTCCTTTGCTTTTTACAAGAATCACTACTCCATTTCCTATCAAAGTGCCAGATGGAGCTCGGTGGCAATATATGCAATTTCTTTATTAGTTTTGATCTGCAAATCATGCCATAATTAGGTAAGAGAATGGTTGTTGCTTTCTGTTCATTCAGGTGATTGAGCAGAGGACCTCTGGGAAATATGTGTGCCTAAGATGGCAGGATGGTTGTCGTCATTGTGGCTCTGCATCGTTGTTTGTTAAAGTGGTCTGTCAGATAAGCTGGTGCAGCTTCTGCAGGAGATATCCTAAGATGAGGAGTTAGAGATTCAAAACCTGAATACGAAATTTCGACCCGTATAGCTGTAGCAGTTTCTGTGAGCAGGCTGGTGAAGGGTACTTTGCTTCAATGAGGTCACGGCCAAGCATTTGACCCCCGTTTGGGCAGCACTAGTGGATCATCCAGCTCTTCGCTGTACTGTCGAGGAACAAAGCCAGTTCTTGTTTTTTTACGGAAAATGAGGAGAGAGAGAGAGAGAGCTAAAATTTTAATGAAATATTCTGACTGTCAAATTATCTCTTACCAAAATTTCTTAGTAGCTTCTGACTTGAAGCCCATGAAGAGGGTGCTTTGTACTGTAGGACAATGGGAGAGAATAATCCACCAAAATAGCGATGCTTCAGATTTCTTCCTTGCAAGAATGATAGGTTAAATTGTTGTTTCCCCATGCTTCTCTTGAGGCTATGCATATGCAGAGTATGGAAGAGGTGACTCTGGTTAGCTTTTATTGCTCAGAACGACCAAGTCCATCTCTGCAACATAGGTGGCTCAGTTTTACCTTTGGATAATATGTGGATCGTCACTATTGCAGCACGGTGTTCGAGCAACAAATCATGCTGGGCTTTGTGGATGGATAGCTCATCTTAGTGCAACAAACAGGCTGCCTCTCATTATCTGTTTGCGCCTGACCATCAATATTCGTTGAGATTCATTCCATCTTTCTGGCATTCTTCTATGTGCAGGAGCAAATTGAGTGGGGTGCATTCTCTTACTGAGAAATCATGTTAAGTTTGGTCTTAAAATGGTTTTTTATTGGTTTGTCTCTCTTTTAATATTATAATACTTCATTTTAAATATTCTCTGGTTGGAGAGCAATCTGTGCAGAAAATGTACTTTGAGTTTTGACTGTGTCTCAAAATCAAGGTTCTTATCTTGTATGGTTTCACTTGAGGCCGTTAAATTTGATCGCATAATGAGTGACGCTCGATGAGATGTCTACTCCCGAAACCGGGTTTGGAAGCTTGTCTATGAGAGGACAAGGACGATGAGACGATTCCTCGTGCGCGTGCCTTTTTCGTAGGTAAATACTTCATCCTGAAATAAGTACTTTGCAGATGATTCGAATCGAGTCCGGCCGGAAGGAAAATTACTCACATCTAGACATGCTTGAGTTGAGTTATCTGAAAATTACTCACATCTAGACATGCTTGAGTTGATTTATCTCATAGATGGCTGATACTGGTTTAGAATTTCGGATGATTAAAATGAAGTACTTATCTTTCCTTTGTTACGTTTTAGAGGAGCTTGTTCTTTTTTTTTTTTTGGTCGAATAGAGGAGCTTGTCCTTGAGGGTAACATCATGAAGTTATAAAGAGGAATTGGCTTTTCTCATCATGCAGCATAAAGGACATTCTCATATTGACTATTTCACAAAGCCAAAAGAAAACTCCAAGCACTTGCATCGTTCTGTTTTTGCAGACTATTGCATCCTAAAATGCAATCGTTTTGGGACATCATCTTCAAAAACCAACTTCGGTAACTACCGGTTGATGTTATTTGGATCTTGAAGTGCCGGAGCTCAGTATGCCGAAAGAAGACAAACCAAATGCAGAAAAATGAAGCCATTGAATCACAAGATACTATGCCAAGCACGCAAGCCCTCAATCCGCATAGTCAATGAGTTCATTCACACGTACGACTATATTATAAACATTTATTGATGGAGAAGATGTAAAAAATCTAATCCATCATTAAAAAACTATCTTTGTATCCTAAAACTGAGCTCTGATCCATCAATGTCTCCATTCGGCCGATAAAAATTGAAGTTTTGTACCATGCACTCTGCATAAACCATCTTAAGTAAAAACTTCTGCATTAAGGACCATGCTACCCGTCCTTTCCCAACGAACCAAAAGAACCAAGCTAGAAATTAATAACTCAACATTTTCCTCCTATATGTCTACACATGAACCTATACATGCCCATCTGCATATGTTAAAGAGTCAGTCGAAACCCGTTGGTTCTGCATTTTAGCGAGGCAGTGCAGGAGTGAATGCAGAAATGAGATCCCTAACAGCTTTCACTTCCCACTCATATTTTGGAAAAGAAATTCCTAGCTATGCATATTTTGTTCTGTGCATGTACTAAATACTCCGAATGCCGGCCTTAGAGGTCTTCCTATGACTCGGCCCTTGCCAATCAGATACTCTTCTCAGATGAATTTCAACAAGAATAGCAAAATACTTCCTTCTATGCAGGGAAAAGTACATCATTCGATACTGGCATAAAGATTTTGCATCTAGACTTGTTACTCTGGTTTAAAGTCCATCAAGGATCATGTGACACCTTTGTATTGAACATCTAACGACATGGGCAAAGACAACTCCCGACACCTGCTAGCGAAATAACCAGAAAAACAGAGCAAAACCCAAAGAATAACCAGAACAAATAAAAGCTAATCCATGTCTGAATTCCACAACCTAGGGGAATGTACAGTTACCACAAAATCCTGAAATTTAAAAGCTACTCACAGAAGCTCTCGAACACCCATTAATAATTGGATGCATGGAGTAACGTTATTCTGAGTCATGTGGCAGATAACAATAACTGATTTCATCAATTCACAAGTTGCTTGGGCAGCAGAAAAGGTAAGATTTGTAACATAAAACATAACAGAGAACAGACTCCGAACACCATATCAAATTAACAGACACCACAGGGAAGTACATAAAACCGACATATACTATCCATTTTCTGTTAACTGCTAACATCGTGGTATACATGTTTTCATCCATAAGACAACTGACATTCTCTGATTGAACCTGCCACTAACCTACTAAAACACGAAAGAAACCGAGACCAAGTGGTAGCTGGTATGGAAACCAGGACTTTCCGTGATTATTACCATTATTGGATAACACAAGACAACCACTTACAGCCCACTAGAATAATCTTACATCCATTCCGAATGCACCCAAAAGGAAAAAAAGAAACTTACAAATCCATCCAGCATCGCCAATCAAATCATATGTCCTCCATCTGAATGCTGCTCTTGAGCGGCACATACTCGCCGAGATACCCACCGAGATGATCATGAAGAACCGTCTTATCAATCCCCTGGTGATGATAACTCTTGCAGACGTAGTAAAACACACTCTGCACCAACAACCCGACCAGGTTGACAATCACCAACACCCCAACCAAGAACCCGCCCACCACGATCCTCCCGAAAACCCCGTGGCTGTCCCCGCCGTGCACCACCACCGCACTGAAGATCACATTAATCACGAAGCAGATCACCAAATACCCGAAAACCAATATCGCCGCCATCCGGGTCCTCCCCTTCAGCAACTCGTAGCTCTTCCTCATCGCCGCGAACCCGAAGACCGGCTCGAGCACCGACACCACGCTCGCCATGTGCCACAGCGCGGTGATATAGACATGGACCACGACGAACAGCACGGAGATCACGAAGATCACGACAAACGAGAACAGCAGCAGGGCCACGTTCTGGGTGTCGATGGAGAACAGGAGGAGCACGACGAAGGCGAGGAGCACGACGTTGTAGCCGACCATGAGGAGGGTGACCCAGAGGAAGGTGACGAGGAGGCGCTTGAAGACCCTGGGGATGGCGGCGAGGGTGGAGGGGAAGGAGACGGGCTTGCCGGCGTAGAGGGAGGCGACGGTGAAGACGGCGGCGGCGGTGGCGAGGAGGGAGAAGGCGAAGAGGAAGAGGAGGTAGCAGAACTGGATGGTGAGGAGGAGGGCCCACTCGCGGCGGGTCTGGGCCGGGTCGGAGGACGGGTACTGGAGGCGGGTGGCGATGGGGTGGGTGAAGAGGGAGTGGGCCAGGATGGCGAAGGAGAGCGGGAAGACGAGGGTCAGCGTCACGAGGTAGAAGGTCTTCGGGGACCGCCGTGGGATGGCGACGGACTCCCGGAGCACGTCGGCGATGGTGAGGAACTGCAGCTCTTCCGGAGCAAGATCCATTTTCCTCTTCCCGGGTCGGGATCAAGATCCGAGCTTTTCGGGGCGGCGGATTCTTCGGGGAGGGGGGGAGCTGCGGCGATCGAGGAGACGGCGGCGATGGGGGTGGGAGGTGGCCGGAGAAGATTTTGCAGAGCCGCCTTGCTCCGTCGATCAGCTCCGGCGCAAGCTCGAAGCTGAGATTCTCTCTCTTCCAGAATTAGCAAAGGGGTAGAAGGAAGGGAGAAGGCGAGAGAGAGAAGTTGGGATTAGATAGGATTTTGGTCAAACGTGGGCTCGAAGCTTCTATTGGGCCTTGCTCGTTACCGTTCGGGCCGGTCGAGAGAACCGGACCGACCGGATCGAATGGACCGGTTCAGCCGACACTCGTATATACAGGGTGCGCATGATAACCATTTTGAAATTTTTTTTCTATTTTTTTTTCTTTCCCGGGAATAGGTTTGTAATAGAAATCCGTTTGGTTCGGTTAGGTCTTTTATCTTTGTATGGTTTGGTTAGGTCCAAGACACCCACCTTATACTTATGGATTTGGTTCGATCTCGAATAGCTCGGGGTTAGCTAGTGTGACGCGGTTTTGTGCCGGAATTTACGACAAACAGGCGGTCTCTGATCGACGGCGAGAGTCGCCTTAAATGGTCGTGATTTCGCTTACGTGGAACTTGAAGCTATTTGTATCAATTCCTAAGGCGAAACATGATACATAGATACGAAAGGAATAAGTTTTGAGACTTTAAATATCATAATAAATGAAAAATGCCATTGCTCGTCGTATTCTAAGTGTTTCAGTAAACGATGCCCAATAATTTATTTTGCTAATGAAAGTAGTGCTTCCACTCATTCCATGTCTACACAACACTCAGCTTTTAGCTAGGAAAAGTACCAAAAAAGTCATAAACTTATTTTAATTATGTCAATTCATTTTTAAACTTTTTAATTGTACAAATTTAGTTTTAAACCTTTTCACATTTTACCAATTGAGTCTATCCAGCTAATTTTGATTGGGAATTGCTGACTTGGATATTAGTCAGCCTACGTGGCATGGTTGGTACTGACGTGGATATTTTAATATATATTTTTTATTATATTTTTTTATTTTTTTCATTTCATTTTGGCTGCACGAGGGTCGCCTCGCCCAGAGCGGGTAGGCCTGAGAAGTCCCTAGGCGAGGGTCTAGGTGAGGGCCGTGACCGTCGCCAGCGGCCAAAATGAAAGGAAAAAAATAAAAGAAAAAAAATTCAATTTTTTTAAAAAATTGTCCACGTTAGTGTCGGCCGTGCCACGTAGGACGACCGACGTCTACATTAGCGATTTTCGATTAAAATTGGTCAGAATGACTCAATTGGCAATTTGTGAAAAAAGTTTGACTAAATTGGTACAATTGAAAGGTTTATGACTGAATTGGCACAATCGCAATAAGTTTATGACTTTTTTAGTACTTTTCCCTCCGGAAACACATTCCCATGCAAACCCTTTATTAAACAATATTTCGATTTTTGGTTCATCAATTATATCTAATTATAATCTTTACTTTTCTTGGAGAATGTTCGTAGCTAGTCTATGTACACAATGGAACATAATCTTTATGATACGTACTAAGAAACCTAGGGAAAAGTGTCATAAAAGTCCTTAACCTTTGTCATTGATGCTAATTTAGTCTTAAACTTTTTTTTGGTACCAATTCAGTCCTAAACCTTTTGCATTGGTACCAATTTAGTTCTAAACCTTTTTTTTATGCCAATTCAGTTTTAAATCTTTTGCATTGATGCCAATTTTGCATTGGTGCCAATTTAGTCCTAAACCTTTTATTTTTATGCCAATTCAGTCCTTCCGGTCAATTTTAACCGGATTTTGCTGACGTGGACGCCGTCTGGCTAGTCATCGGTGTTGACGTGGATAACTTTCAATAATATTTTAATATTTTTTGAATTTTTTTTTTGTTTCCCCTTCCCTCCCCTCCCTCTTTCCTCCAGCCGGTCTCTGGACTGGCCAGAGGCTAGCGAGGCTCGTCCTCGCCAACGACAGCGAAGGGGAACCTCGCCAAATCTAGCGAGGTCGTGCCTTGCCCAATCGCTGGCGAGGCTCGACCTCGCTAGATCCGATGAGGTTGGGCCTCGCCCAGCCGCCTTGCCTGCCCAACGCGAGGTCGTCCTCGCGGCCATCCGGCGAGGGCGGGCCTCGCCGGCCTCTGGCCTTTGGCTGGTCACTGGTCTAGTGACCGGCTAGAGGAAGGAGGGAGGGGAGAAAAAAAAAGAAAAAAAAATTCAAAAAATATTAAAATATTATTAAAAGTTGTCCACGTTCGCGTCGGTGGCCGGTCGGCATCCACGTCAGCAAAATCCAATCAAAATTGACCGAAAGGACTGAATTGGCACAAAAATAAAAGGTTTAAGACTGAATTGACATCAATGCCAAATGTTTATGACTAAATTGACCAAAAAAAAGGTTTAGGATTAAATTAAAACCAATGCAAAAGGTTTAGGACTGAATTGGTATAAAAAAAAGGTTTAGGACTAAATTGGCACTAATACAAAAGGTTTATGACTTTTTTGACACTTTTCCCAAGAAACCTAGGTAGTTAGGTCACACAATCCTTAAATTCTTTCACAAACATTGGACCTAACCACTAATAAAAGCTCACATGCTTCGTATTTGCTCATGGTTGCCTGCTCTCCAATGAGGTACAGAGTTTCGTGATCTGGTAGATAAGTGCAAAAGAAGAAGACTTCATCGATTTTGTGGGGAGAGGATGATGTTGAAGTTGACGTGAAACTGCCCTTCCGTTTTCAGACGACAGCACAAATTCTCTTGGTTTCTTGCTTTGACTGCAAGTTCTGCACTCAGTCATGATTGTCTCTACAGACTCCATGCAGCTTCTTCATGTGCACACAGGCTCGAGGAAAGCTGTTGTTTGCCACTCTGCAACAGACCAGCCAAGTCATTGCAAACCCTCGAGATTAACAACATTATGAGCTGCTTTTAGAGAGAAAAAAACAAGAGATATGAAGGACAAGGCACGTTGTTTCGATCTAACTTTGGCGAGATTGATGATTATTTTAGCGACAATAGTTGCTGATTTCATGAGCATATTGAATGCAGTCAGTCTCAAGATCTCTTTGGAATGAAGCTAGATCAAAAACAATATTACGAAACCAAAGGCAGAAATTAGCTGGGCGAGAGTGATGACAGCAAAGTATGCTTTAAGTCGGGTTTGTTTTCCAGCTCAATGACATTCCCATGTCTCATAGTTATGTGGAATTGGTAATGGGAGAGCTTCCATATCTTCTTATAGACTATGATTAAGTTTCTTATGTTTCGCAGGTTGCAATATATATGCAAGTGCATCCTTGGAGTAAAAGGGGGAAAAGAGTGTTTCTTTGCCTTAAAATCACTCAACATAACACGAGTTCAATTCCGAGTGAGGTAAAAAAATTTGTCTCAAGATCATACCCCCATGTACCTCCAATTTGTGGGTATAGGTCACCTTCAAAAAAGTGCTAAACTTATTGCACTTATGCCAATTTAGTTCAAAACTTTTTCATATTTTGCCAATTTTGTCCTAAATCTTTTCACATTTTTCCAATTGAGTGCATCCGACTAAATTTGACAGAAAATTGCCGACATTGACATTTTTAATAATATTCTAATAATATTTTGATTTTTTAATTATTTTTTGGTTTTTTTTCTTTCTCTACTTTCTTTTTGGACCAAGGGCCGGCAAGGGTCGTCAGCTGACCCTTGCCAGATCTGGGTGAGGGCCGCAACGCCCTTGTCGGATTTGGGCATCGTGGCCCTCGACTAATCTAGGCAAGGGGCCGAACGCCCTCCCCTTGCTTTGGTCGGTGAGGGCATTGGGTGAGGGTTGCCACACCCTTGTTGGCCACAACGAGGGCCCGCGAGCCCTCACCTAGTGGCCGATGAGGACTGTGACGCCCTTGCTTAGTGCCGGTGAGGGTTGCTGGCCCTTAGTCAAAAGAAAAGAAAAGAAAACCAAAAAAATTATAAAAAAATTCAAAAAATTATTTAAAAATGTCAATGTCAGTGCCGGCCATGCCACGTTGGAAGGTTGGCGTCCACATTAGCGATTTATGATCAGAATTTGCCGGATGGACTGAATTGGTAAAACATGAAAATGTTTAGGACTAAATGGGCATAAGTGCAATAAGTTTAGGACTTTTTTGGTTATTGTCCCTTTAAGAAAACAATGACTACATGATTCGGTTCGACATATTTAACGTTCTTTACCCTCACTTGTGCGAACTCACACACATTTTATTACACTTGATTTGTTGTTGAATGAGCTTTGAATTCACGAGAAAATTCGAGGCCATCTGGAACGAAATGGACACTGTAAAAACTACAGCTTCCAATTCTAGGCAGGCAAAGTGTTGCTTATGACGATTCGTAATTTATTTCCTAGGGTTAATACTTGATCAGAACTTCATGAGACAGTATATACAACTTGCTCTAGCTAGGGTTTGCTCACCGAAAAGCTATAGCTAGTGTGATGAGCATTTCATGCTCTTTTTCCTGAATAACTCCAAAGCAGGAGCTAATACGAATTTTCATAGGAAACTTTCTTCCTCGCACATCTAAATAGAATAAAGATTAAAATTCTCAGTAGAGCTTTTAATTGCACGCTTGCAGAAGGTGGCAAAGATTGTTTGCACTGTCGCAACAACACCACCTCGAATTCGGGAAGTGGGATTCGATCATTCATCGTGGAAGACCAAGCATTTTCAGAGAGTAACCTATTGTCTCTAACCTCTTGCAGTGAAATATCAGATTTCGAGAGTCTTTTTCGATTATGATTCCGTGCTTTGGATTCTCTTTAATGCTCTGATCATCCTCCAGGGGTGACTTTCCTGCGGAAAATGACCTTCAAACAGCTTGCCATTGCGATCCATTTATGGGAAGCGAAACTCAAGTATGGTAATTAATCCACGTGTTTCTTGCTCTCTCAAGAGATAAATTGCAGATTTTCCTTGCATTTCACTGCTCCAAAACTCGTGTCTTGCTTGGCCATGAGGAGTCACGGATGGGTAGGCATCCACTCTCATGTTATGACCTTTGTAAGTGAGGTATTCTTCCGTATGAGAAGGGAAAATTACCAAAAAAATCTTAAGCTTGTTGCATTTGTGCAAATTCAGCAATAAATCTTTTAATTGTGCCAATTCAGTTCTAAATCTTTTGATCAATTTTGATCGGGAAACGTTGACGTGGCGGTCCAGTCAGCACTGACCACGCCACATTGGACGGTCGGTGTTGACGTGGATAATTTTTAAATTTTTTTCTTTTTTCTTTCTCTTTCTTTTTTTTTTTTCCTTTTTGCCGGTGGTTGGTCTTAGGTGATGGTCGAAGGTGGTTGGTCTCAGGTGATGGTTGAAGAGGCCTAGGCGACGGTTGCCCTCGCCCGATCTGGCGAGGGATGGCCTCGCTTGGGTGAGGGTTGCCCTCGCTAAATCTGGACAAGGGTCGCCTTGCTCGCAGCCGACAAGGGCATCGGCGAGGGCCGCGACCCGTCACCATTGTCCAGTGAGGGCTTGTAGGTCCTCACCTAGTGGTCGGCGAGGGTCACTTGGCCCTTGCTAGCCCTTGCTAACCACTATAATAAAAATAAGAAAAGAGAAAAAAAGAAAAGAATAAAATTAAAAAAATGTCCACGTTAGCGCCGGTGTTGTATCATAAGACGGCTGGCGTCCACGTTAGCGATTTCCGGCCAAAATTGATCGGATGGACCACATTGGTAAATTGTGAAAAGGTTTAGGACTATTTGGCTAAGTTAAAAGATTTAGGACTGAATGGCACAAATACAATAGGTTTAAGACTTTTTTGATAATTTTCTCATATTTTCTAGGGACTTTTTAGATTATACGTTTCACAACGAGTTATCTTCTGATTTCGTGAATTGATCGACTTACTTCTTTCAAATAAAATTGATAATTAAAATAATTGGTAATGATTCCACAAAATCTCATATGATATCAGAGTAGGAGGTTGCGAGTTCAAATATTTCCAGACCCCTCATTTGCCTCCTTTATTAAATGCGATTTCAGGTTAAAATTACTATAATGGACGGTCACTAATTGATGGTGAGAGTCACCTTAAATGGTCATGATTTCATATGAGTGAAATCTTAAGCCATCTATATCGATTCACAAAACGAACGTGATCCATGGACACGAATGTAATATCAAGCTTTTAGACTTTAAATATAATAAAACATGAAAAATGCCATTATTTATCATATTTTAAGTGTTTCATTAAATGGGTACCCAGTCATTCATTTGGTCAATGAAAGTGGTGCTTCCACTTTTATCTCATACGCAACTCCCAACCACATTCCGATGCAAACTTCTTAATTGATAATGTTTGGATCTTTGGTTGATCATTTATACATAATTCTCTTCTTTTTTTTTTGGAGAACATTCGTAGCTAGTCTGTATCTAGGCTATGTATATGTGTAGGAATTCACAAAATTTCATGATCTGGAAGATGAGTGCAAAAGAAGACTATCGAAACGTGGCAGAAGAAAGATAGTGATATTCTCCATTAAATTTAAATATAATAGCCCGGTTAACACTAGGCCAAAACAAAATTAATATCATACCTCCCAAAATCAACACCCTCTCTCTCTCTCTACCATAAAAGTAGCTCAATTTTTGAATGGTGCAATGCATGACTGTAAAGGCCATGGAAAGAGGATGATGCTGAAGTCGACGCGAAACTGCCTTTCATTTTTAGACAAAAGCACAAATTCTCTTGTTGCTTGCTTTTACCGTACGTTCCCATTCAGTCATGACGTTGGCATTCTCTTCAACTTCATGCAGCTTCATGTCCACACAGGCTTGAGAAAGCTACCGTTTGAAAATTTGCAATAGACTGGCCAAGGGCAGAAACTAGCTGGGTGAGAGTGATGATGGCAAAAGGAGCCGTGGGGGGACCAATCTAGACAATCAACCTTTATACTTCCAAATATAGATGTTCCTAACAAGTGTTCCCTAACTAGGGTTTGTTTTCCAGCTCAATGACATTCAATATCTCATAATCTTGTGGAATTGGTAATGGAAAAGCTTCAATGTCTTATAAACTGCGATTAACTTCTTTTTATGCTTCTGGGTTGCATTGTATGTACATGTACATCCTTGGTGTGAAATGGGAAAAAGAGTGTTTCTTTGCCTTAAGACCAATGGGCACCACCCTACTTCTGAATGAGGTAACAGCTTTGTCTCAAGAACAAACCCCTATAAACCTCGAATTTGTGGGTATAGGTCCCACATCAAGAAACTACATAATTTGGTTCAACATCTTTAACATTTTTTACCCTTGCTCGCGCGAGCTCGCACACATCTAGTACATTTAATTTGTTGTTAAATGAGGTTAGGAAGCAGCTGAATTTACAAGAAAGTTGGAGGCCATCCAGAATGAAATGGACACAATAAAACTACAGCTTTTAGTTCTAGGCAGACAAAGGGTTGCTTATAATGATTCGTAATTTGTTTCCTAGGTGTAATACTTGATCAGAACTTCATGAGATAGTATATACAGCTAGCTCTAGGAAGGGTTTACTCACCGACAAGTTCTAGCTAGTGTGATGAGCTTTATGCTCTTTTTGCTGTATCACTTGACAGCAGGAACTCATATAAACGTTCATAGAAAACACATCTACATAGAATGAAATTCAACACCCTTAGTCACACTTACCGAAGGTGGCATATGGTGTTTGCATTGTCACAACAATAACACCTCGAGGAAGTCGAATTGGATCATACATCGTGAAAAATCGACTCTATATCATGCATTTTCAGAGAAAATTAAATTGTAGTTAACCTCTTGCTGTGAAATATCAAATTTTGAGTCCTTTTCGATTACAATCATGTGCTTTGGACTCTCTTTAATGCTCTGGTCATCCTCCAAAGGGGACTTTGATGTGGAAGATGAATTTCAAACAATATGCCGTTGCGATCCATTTAAGGTTAGAAGAAACGAAAATATTGATAACCTAAGTTTTCTTGTTTCCCATTCAAGAGATTAATTGCAGGTTTGCCTTGTATTTCACTGCTCCAAAACCGTGTGTTGGTTGGCCATGAGGAGTGACATATGTGTGGGCATCCACTCTCACGTTATGACCTTTTTAAGTGAGATATTCTCTCGTATATATGTGCTAGGGGCTTTTCGGATGATACACTTATTAATGGGTATCTTCTAAAACTGTGAAGGAATTGACTAGCTTCCTTTAGATAAAATTGATAATTTTTCATTGAAAGTAATGATATAAAGATAATTTGGATCAAAATGAGCTTTCCTTAAGCTTGTCCGGAGAATTATTTCTATAGTTGATTCTATCGTGCAACAGCAGGGAACTATCTTGGCATCGGCAGTTTACCACGGAATCTACTACGCTACCATGGAAATGCCTACCATGCAACCAACATAATTGGACTTGTTATTAATTTTGGTTAGAATCTCCAGTTCCAACATGAAAACCGAGGACCTAACCGGTCTTTACCCATTCCAACTTTTTAAGTCAAGAACCGAGCCGATTCCCATGTGAACCAATAAGGCTGGTCTTTGTCAATTCTAGTGTCTACCCAGAATCCATGCTTACCCTAAAGCTTTGTCTTTATCACAAGTCCTCTTCTAACATCCAAATATTCTCTCGATTTGCTTCCAACATCCTAATATTGACCACAGAAGAATATTACAACAAACGCCCGCCTTGTTTTCCTTTTTTGAACAAAGTTAAGTGCTAAGAAACTTCTCAAGTCTTTCTGTTTGAACTTGCTTGGAAGTTTGTCCAGCGTACACAACGCGGAGAAACAAATTGGGTAGTTTCTCCTCGGTCAAATCTACGTGCTTATGAGATGGCGTGTTGTTACCACTTACTCCAATTCAAACACGCACACACTGTCCTAATGACACTGCATGTTTCCGTCACCATAAGCATATACATTTGATGGATGTTAATGGAGTTTGCAATGATGCTTAATCAGTAAGCGAGCCAAGGAACTGACTCTGAAGCTTGACAGGCACTACCCCCATCAGATTCACGCACTTTGCCGTTTCGAAAAATGGAAAACTTGGTAGCTGTGATTTCCATTCATGGCAACCTGGTCTTGTTTCTACGTTTTGAACTTGCCCTAGAATTGGCAAAACTCATAAAGCTCCACTTGGGTCGTGGACAGAGCAATGAGAGGGACACACAGAGAGAGAGAGAGAGAGAGAGAGAGAGAGAGAGAGAGAGAGAGAGAGAGAGAGAGAGAGAGAGAGAGAGTGAGTGGTTATTAGTCACAGCATGACGTCCACCCTTTGTTCCTACCTCCTTCACTAGGAGATAGCGAAAGATTACTTAATCATGCAAGTATTTAAAATTACCACATGGTGCCATCATCACCATGTAATAATTATGCATGGTAAAAAGAATGAAATAATGTCGATTACTCCCCCATTATTTGGGGTCTTTTTCATTTTCCGTTCAATTGGTTTTAAGAGTTTGATACTAACAATTACTAAAATTTTCCTCCCTCTTCTGATTTAAAAATCTATGTAGAATTAGTCAATGTTGGGTCTGACCTAAGTCCTTCCAATAACGTATGTGCATGCAAGTTCCCCCTTTAAAACTTAAATCTTGCGGCTACGATATTTATATAAACTTGTGATGAAGCCAATTCACAGGGTATCAAAAGGAATGTGACTTAAGGGTTTGATATATATGAATGATACGAATATAAAGATTGATTTAGAAATGAGATGTCCCATGTTTCCTTGGACGACATGTTCTCTAAACTTTTTATATGCTGAAGCATGTTTACTATTGAAATGCATCGATCAAGTTTTCGAGTTAATCTCTTGTCATAACTAGCTAAACTAGTCTCCTAATTCCATTTATTTCAAGGCCATATATCTAATGTTCTCCTTTGAAAGGGTATAATTGCAAGAGCTTGTCTGTAAATTAAAAGCCAGGATAATAAAAAAGGGACTTGGTGTTATGTATATGAGATGGAAACTACCTATTTTTCTTTTCTCTTTGCCACCAACCACATGCATGTTATGACACTCTTATCATCATTGCTTTTTACTTCTCTATTGCATATGAATTAATTGGCAAAAAAAATAAAATTTCAAATCCACGATCAGAGTCTCACATGTGAACCTTTAGACCCTTTGCATGATTTTGGGGCTAAGCCATAAAGGCTCTTTGGTAAATAGTAAACTAAAGTTGGTCTAATTATAGAGAGTTGCTCAAGCTCAATAACTTCATAAGACAAGCTTTCAGGCTCATCTTCCAATCCAACAAGCAAGGGAAGGAGAAGAAGAAGGTAATACCAATCTCTCTCTCTCTCTCTGTCTCTGCTTGTTTTGTGCATAGGTATATGCAAGTATAAGCAAACTAGGGTTTTTTGGAAGCTATGAGTTTCCACTTCTGATGACAGTCCTCAATTTGTCTCTTCAACTCCATCATTTAATCTTGTTTGCGTATCAAAAAAAGGAGATGCGCTTTTAAATCTGAGCTGAAGCAGTAGTGCATTATGTTCATGCTTAATTTGCTGAATTTGCTCTTTTATATACTCCTAATCTTTGGCTTTTCTTCTTGCAACAATATATAATCCTAGAGACTCGGGGGAGCTAAAAACGGGTAAAGATCTCTCTCTTTTTTCAGCTTCAAACCTACAGCAAGACAAAGCAAGAAAACAAGAGGGAAATCCTCCCACCAAAAATGGGCCGAGGAAAGATAGAAATCCGAAGGATCGAGAACAAGACCACAAGGCAAGTGACGTTCGCGAAACGCCGCGCAGGGCTGTTGAAGAAGACCCACGAGTTGGCCGTCCTCTGCGATGCGCAGATCGGGCTCATCGTCTTCTCCAGCTCGGGAAAGCTCTTCGAATACTGCAGTCAGTCCACGAGGTGAATTTGTTTTTTTTTTCATGGCCTAGCTTAAAATTCCTAGTTTGGTCACTTAATTTCCATACTTTTCAGATCATTGTTGTTTAATAAAAACCCTTTGGCCTTAACTGTAATTGATACTTGCAATATAGATGTATCTATCTATATATATATATATATACATACCTGGTTTTTGTTTTCTTTTCCCAGGTTCTTTTTTTGGTTGTTTCTTTTCTTTTCCCAGAATGTTCTTCATATTCTTAGTTTTTCTTTTGTTTTTGGTTTTTCATCCATTTTATTGCGGAGAGAATTGGGGTTTTTGGGGGAAGGGCCTGCATCAAGTATGTGATGATTACTCTCTCTCTCTCTCTCTCTCTGCGCTTTGTCTGTGTTTATTTAGTGTTTGCATAAAACCCAGTTGTTGAAACTCTCTCTTCGGGAGGCCATAGCTAGGGTTCCTTCGTCGGACACCTCTCTTCAATTTCATCCTTAATATTCACTATATGTATCTATTTTAGCTTGAATTATGTACATATATGTGCTTCTTCAGTTCGAGCTACTCACATTTAAATGGACAGAGTATATTCAGAAATTGATTAGTTTTAACTGGAGAATCACTAAATTGGATATTATTCTGCCTACATTGATTTATTAATAAAAGTGCTTACACAATAAGCAAATATTTAGTAGGTATCAAAGTGTTCTCATTGCTTTGAGATTCATAACTTGAGTTAGCACACCTAGTTGTTTAGTAATTTATTGTGGATTCTCTAGATGATATTCGTCACGCAATTTGAGCGATGACAATAATCTTTTGTTTAATTTCTTTTTTAGGATTGTTAGTTTGATATAATTTCCATATCAAGTTTATGTAAATAATTTATTTTAATTAGAGCAGGGATGGATGCTCATCTTATTCAACAAACTTACTCAGAAATTGGCCATATATAATGGTGAATGATGGATTTTTTTTACATTATTCGGTTATCTGAACCTGCAGCATGCAAGAAATCATAAGCAAGTATCACGGCCATAAGGGGACTCAAATTGTGGAGCACAATGAGCAGGTATATTTCCATGGGAATAGCTTGCTCTCCCTAAAGAGAATTGTGGAAAAGACAATGGTTAATCACCTACGTACATCACCAAATGATGTTTTGCAGGAACAGCTTCAGAATGAGCTGAGGAGGATGCGAAGAGAAACGCGTAACCTTCAACTGAGCATGCAGCGATACACAGCCAGTGATCTGACCAACATGCGACTCGAGGACTTTGATCAGATGGAGCAGCAACTTGAGTGCTCCATCAACAAAGTCCGCGCAAGGAAGGTAAATGATGCTTCGTAATGACGAATATCCCTGCTTGATTTTTCTAATGTAACCACTATTTTTGTAAGTTAGAAGAAATAGCACACGCCGAGCATTTCATACCACCTTTCGCATTAATTATGCTGTTCGGAAGACACGTTGGCAATTAACATCTAGAGGAAGAACATCACGGTTAAACTTCGAAAGATCTCAGTACACAATGCCAAAAGGGTAGCATAATAACTGACAACTACATGTAATTGTCTGCTTTTGCATTAGATTTGCTCGTTATTCCAAGGGCACAGTTTTTCCATTATGTCAAGGCGCACACAACACTTTCATGAATGAATTTGCATTCTCTTCTATTTTCATTCAATTAGCACAAGCTAATCACTCGACGGGTTATAAGTGCTTACTTATAAAGTGCTATTAACTTAATCAGTCCATGCGATCCACTTACGATGTTGTACAAATTGTTGATTCATGTGTGTATACATGCTAATCGAACTGTGTCCCTGATTTCGGGGTATTATTCAGTTTGAGCTGATGCAACAGCAAATAGACAATCTGCGGAGAAAGGTATGACTGTCCTCTCTCTTCCCAAGTAAATTTAAGTTTACATGCATTTCCTTTTTGTTTTGTATCCAGAAGGAATCAAAGTTTCATACATTTGTGACCATGGTTACAATGTCCAGGAGAAAATGCTGCAGGATGAAAACGATCAAATATATCATCTGGTGAGTTAAAATGCCACTAGCAAAATACTTGCACAGCTGTTATGCAATAGAACTAAAGTAAAAGATGTTTGGTTCAGTTGATTAACTTCCAAAAACTCTTATTAAATGTCATAAAAGCAACATCAAAATATGTATTGAGCCGAAACCCTAGCTAGTTTGCCCTCTTCCCATTCCTAGTTATAAGTAAAAAAAAAGCAAAAAAATGTTCTGAAAAATGTTTCAAACCAATTTTAGCTTGTATATTGGAGTGTTCCAGATATTGTTATGAGTTGTTTTTCCTTTTGGACAGTAATCTTGTCATGAAAAACTGAAAACGTATCGAATCATGTTTCTCATTGCAATTTAATAAGACTGACTATGGTCAATGTCGACACTGATGCGGACGATAGATTAAGCAGCAACAGATGGCGATGGAGCATCAACAGGTGGGGGGAGCAGTGCCGAAGCCGGAGGAAGCGCAGCACGTGCTGGAGCAATTCCCTTTCTACGGAGAAGAACAGCCGAGCAGTGTCCTTCAGCTCGCGATCCTCCCTTCACAGTTCCAGCCATACCGCCTCCAACCGACTCAGCCAAATCTGCAGGACTTTCTCCAGCCCTCGAACTATGGCGGTAATCAGTAAAACGTTTCGGCTATGTTTTATATTAATTGCGCGAAATACTTGCCACTGATTTGTTGATCCAGCGTGACCCTTTTGCTGGCTTTCTTGTGGCCATTACAGAGTAGGAAGATGGAAGAAGAGAGCAGTGTTTGAGGATGCCATGCTTCGAGGAAGGATACTATATGTTGCTGGATGCTAGCTTTTGATTGTGTTTTTTCTTGCCAGATACTTGAAAACAAGCAACGTGCTTACAATTAGTTTATGTTTATGTCCTGGTTTGTTTACTTACTGCAAATGGTTGATTACAGTATATGTCTAGCTTAATTATCTGCTTCTGGGTATATACATGGAGTTTACGGAACAAACTACTGCCCAGATGGTCAATTTTATGGTGTGTAATCACATGATGTTTGTCTGGGTTTTCCTTACTGCATCTCTTTACTGGTACAGATTATTTTTGCCATTTCTGGACCATGCACCCAAATCTTTGACCTCTTTAAGAGGGGCCTTACTGCATGCTGCTCAAAAGCTGAGAAAATTAGAAGAATCAAAATTGTGAACATTTACTAATAGTCAAGAATAAGCGAAAAAGAGAATTAGAGAATTTCCGTATATTTCTCTGTACATATTACTGATGAAACATGAGCCTATTTATAGGCTATTCTAGATGACTATCTAAAGCAATAAAATATTACAATATCAAATACAATCAATTAGAATCAATCTAGGAAGATAATAATATCTCTAGAAGATAACAAATCAATTTATGAGGATAACAGTATCTCTGAAAGATAACAATATCTCTAACACTAATGACGCACTCAACTGAACTCTAATTACTAATGAGTTCGGTCTTCACACGCATCAACCCTTTCTTTCATTTACAAATATTTACTCCGATTTTTCGCCTCATACTTATATTTTTCTTGTCGCCATTTCTTTTCTTATTCATTAACTTGATTTACACGGTCGCTCGACCATTAGCCCAATATGCAAATTCATATTCCATTTATTTGTTGTCTATCGTCTCTTCATAGTTTGCTCAACATTAACATGAATATTTTCTCGAGTAAAATTCTAAGGCCAGAAAAATTATTTCATCTCATTTTCTAAAGAAAACTCTCTTTTAGTATTACATGAGAAGAAATTATACGGAACGGGATATGGAGAGGTATATATCATCATTCACCTTAAAAGAATGTGAAAAATGTTTGACATTAATTGTTAAAAAAAAAGCCTAAAAAGGATGTTATCACGGGCTGTACATCAATTGTACTATAAAATGAAGTAATTGAAAAAAATAACTATGTCAATTACAATAGATTACAAAAATATGGTATATGAATATTGATTTTGATAGTATTTGTGCTATCTAACGATAAATCAAAAGAATAATCTATTTACTCCCGTGACTATAATATGATAAATCATATCTTTGGTATTTAAATATTAATCGATGTGTTATATCATTAACCGGCTAACGAAAAGATATAATTAATATAAGCTCATCGAAAGTCGAAATATTCTTTCACTAGTATAATATGGTATGTGTTTTATACAAGTATAATTTGTCTAGTTCCAAAAGACCAAAGTATAATTCCATGAGTTAGGAAAAGTGCTAGAGACAAAAGTTTCATCAAGAATCACACAGGCATGTGCATCCTATGCTAAAATATCAACATTTTACTAATTGGGACAAAGCAAAATTACCCACTTTCTTTGAAAAACTAGTTCTTGCCAAAGGTTTTCCTTCAACATTAAGTTTTCTTCGGGAAACTAATGACCCAGGAGACTCTTTCACGAAATCGGTGTACTAAATAACGTGTCAGATCGTTATTGATCGTTGAATATGACTTACTTTTTTCTACTTGTTCATATATTCCACACTAATTTACGAAGGATTTAGCATGCTCGTCAAACATCACCATAAAGAAAGTTTGTCGTTTTCAAAGCACTGTCTTTCTCGTGTTATGTATAATCAGTGCATTTGTAATAAAAACATCTCTTTATAAGTAAACCAGTCAAACAAGTGTGGGTCGGGTCGAAAATGATCTAACCTAAATCGATCAATTTTCATACAATATAAATCTTGGGACTCATACTTGACCTCAACTCATATTGCTAAAACACTTCTATATTTAATCTAATATAAGAAAACTCACACCCAAATAGAGGTGAGAGGGCGAAGCGAGCGAGTGTGAGAGACAATTATGAAGGTGGGTTAGATCTAAGTAAGCTGTGAACTCATTTAATACCAATATTATTTTGGGCCTTGCCATTTGAATTCACGACCCATTTATTGAATACAATTGACCTATATAAAAAAAAAACTCAACCATCAAATAAGAGATAAGAAACGGGTCAATAACCCATCTCGGCAGGTTTACTTAGGCTGCGCATGACAACGATTCTGTGCCCGGGAACAGATTCTGCTCAGAAATGATTCTTTTTTATTCTGTGCCTGGAATTGATTCTGAGCATTTTAAGGCGTTTGTTAACGGCCCAAAATTCCATCCCTGGAATAGAAAAAGAACATAAATGCGTTTGGTAACGCCACAAAATTTCTTTTTATTAATAATATTTTTAAATATTTTAATATTTCTTTCTTTTTTTTCTTTTCTTTTTTTCTTTTCCTCCTTCTTGGCCATGGCCTGCTCGCCGGCCATGACCGGTAAAATATTTTTTTATTAATAATATTTTTATTAAAAATATTTTTTCTTTTTTTTGGCCATGGCCTGGTCGCCAGCCATGACCGGTAAAATATTTTTTTTATTAATAATATTTTTTATTAAAATATTTTTATTAAAAATATATATTTTTATTTTTTTTTGCCCTGGCCTGGTTGCCGGCCATGGCCAGTAAAATAATTTTTTTATTAATAATATTTTTTATTAATAATATTTTTATTAAAAATATACATTTTTTATTAAAATATTTTTATTAAAAATATACATTTTTTTATTAAAATAGTTTTATTAAAAATATACATTTTTATTTTTTTGGGCCATGGCCTGGTCGCCGGCCATGGCCGATAAAATATTTTTTTATTAATAATTTTTTTATTAAAATATTATTATTAAAAATATATATTTTTATTTTTTTTTGCCATGGCCTGGTCGCCGGCCATGGTTGGTAAAATATATTTTTTTATTAAAATATTTTTATTAAAAATATATTTTTTTCTTGTTTTTGGCCATGGCCTGTAAAATATTTTTTTATTAATAAATTTTTTTATTAAAATTTTTTTATTAAAAATATATATTTTTTCTTTTTTTGCCATGGCGTGGTCACCGGCCATGACAGGTAAAATATTTTTTTTATTAAAATATTTTTATTAAAAAATATTTTTTTCTTTTTTTTGGCCATGGCCTGGTTGCCGGCCATGGCCGGTAAAATATTTTTTATTAATAATATTTTTTATTAAAATATTTTATTCTCGTCAGATCCGGCGAGGGCGGTCCTCGAGCCGGACATTAGAAGCTACATCAAAAACCAAGAAAAGGAAGAAGAAGAAAAATTGATTGTCAAAATAGTTCCCAGAATCAAGAAGCTATTTTTTTTTTTTTTTGAAAACTGATTCTGGGAACAATTTTTGACAAAATTGTGCCCAGAATCAAAAAATTAAACAAACGTATTTCTATTCCCAAATTGATTCTGGGAACAAAAGAGCAGAATCAAACACTGTTTGGCAAGTTGTCATGCGCAGCCTTATCTAGTCATGGCCACGGGCCGGTTTCGGCCCGGAACCGGCCTAGTCAAACCCGGGCCCGGCCCGTTGACCGGGCCCGCAGTTTGGAACGGAAACCATGTCACGCCCCGTACCCCACGAAGCATGAGCATCCCGCTTATAGGTCGAAATAGTAGCGCGACGCTCCCAGGTTACGGCACCGACCCGAAAACCCAAATCAGAGAAAACACGCCACATGCAGAAACGACGTATATATAATAAATATACATATACACCCAGACAATTTAAAAGCAACCACGAGTGGCAAGAGAAAAATAAATTACGATTGATTAAACCCCCATATACATTATCCGTCTATAAACAAAAAGGTACATCAAAAGGCAACGAACAAAAAGGGATCGGTGACCTAGGGGTGTCAAACTAACTACCGGAGGGGTACGGTCAAAAAGTGTCGACCCTCACTCCTATGCTGATATCTAACCTACGGTACCCGGTCGGGATCGAACCCGACGACTCAGAAGAACTCTCGAGTCGCTCTTGATCCTCCTCGAACTCATGGCCTCCAACTCTATCTCTCGCTCGGGGTCTTGTTCTTCGTACTCGTCTACGTCCATAGGCTCGGGGGCTTCTGCGTCCACCCGCTCTGGAGCCGGATCGACTATCTCCGGCTCTAAAAGCTAATCCACCAAGCTCCTCGTGCTCTTCCTCTTCTTCCACAATCTCGTACTCAACCTCAGAATCAGGATTGCCCTCCATATCGACATCTACTATATCACCGTCTGGACATTGAATATCTAGCGGACCTCTCCCACAAACGGCGTCGGCGGACTGATGGGACCGAACTCTACTCCAAAACGATCCCGGAAACACCAGGCTAGATACTCGTGAGTCTCAAAGTGAGCTAAGCCTACGTCTACCCATACTAAAGCATAGTGTCTATAGTACTTCTCCCCGTTCCCCACGGGTGCACGGTCAGCGTACGCTCTATATGGTGGGGAATCCCAAAGCGTAACGGTGCGTCGTCGAAGTTCATGGCGGGAGATCTGAAAAGTCGGTTTTACCACAACCGTGAGAAAACTCAGCAAGTAAAAACCACTAATCCTAAACTAGGCTAATGTGCACCTCCAGAGGGTAAATAAAACACATAAACAGATAAATAAACCAGTATAACAATCAATATAAGCTCACCCGGGCCCACAGCCCAATTCACTACTCTGCCCTGCAGGTTAGACTTTTGATATCAATATTAAACATATTCACTTAAATCGACCCGAAGGCCACGACCCGAAGGCCACAATTTACCTCGACCCGAAGGCCATAATTTATCCCGACCCGAAGGCCCGACCCGAAGGCCACAATTTCTCCCGACCCGAAGGCCCGACCCGAAGGCCACAATTTATCTCGACCCGAAGGCCCGACCCGAAGGCCACTATTTATCTCGACCCGAAGGCCCGACCCGAAGGCCACTATTTATCTCGACCCGAAGGCCCGACCCGAAGGCCACAATTTCAATCACTTCAAACATGTACATCAATGCGTCCAATGTTGATCAATCAACGTCACGAGAGATGAATACAAGCCAAGGCACTCAAGGTTAATCGCCCACACTAATATACCAAGCATACTCATTCTCGACTTAGACGCATTCAACTCATCCTCAAGACAATCAATTTACTTCCGTTCTCACCCAATCCACTCGACATTGATTCGCACCTTTATTACAATTCAATGTA